CGGTGTCAAATTGGCGCCCAACGTGGGGCTCGAAGACTTTCTTTCGTGTCTGAACGGATGTTCGGATGGACCACCCATTAATGAGCGGTCTCACACTCTTTGCTGAGCTAACCAAACCCATGTCTCAAATAGTTTACAAAATTATGTAGACTAACTTTTCAGTTTTCTTCCCATCACTTAAGGGGGGGCAGTCTTGTAAGATTGACCCCATTAACCCCACTCAGTTTCAAGAATACACTTCCGGGAGTGTTCTCTAAAACCCGGTGGCGCCCAACGCTTCCCCTCTCTCAACTAAAAAGCTTCTCCTCCAGCCGCAAAAGCTTTAACCATTCTCTCAACCAAAAAGCTTCCTTATGAAAAGCTTTCACCTCTTCTTAATCCAAAAGCTTATTCCCAAATCGGAAAAGCTTTCGCCTTCTTCTAAACCAAAAAGCTTCTTTATGAAAAGCTTTCACCTCTTCTCAACCCAAAAGCTTATTCCCAAATCGGAAAAGCTTTCGCCTTCTTCTAAACCAAAAAGCTTCTTTATGAAAAGCTTTCACCTCTTCTCAACCCAAAAGCTTATTCCCAAATCAGAAAAGCTTTCGCCTCTTTCTAAACCAAAAAGCTTACTCTCAAAAATCAGAAAAGCTTTCAACTCCATCGCAACCAAAAGCTTCTTTAAGAAAAGAGCTTTCACCTACTCTCAACCAAAAGCTTACTATTAAATCAGAAAAGCTTGCACCTCTATCTCAAACAAAAAGCTTCTTTATGAAAAGCTTTCACCTTTTCTCAACCAAAAAGCTTATTCCCAAATCAGAAAAGCTTTCACCTCCATCTCAACCAAAAGCTTTTTCCATTAAAAGCTTTTCCCTTTTATCTGTTACCTCTACTATAAATTATTTTCGAAAATAACTTATCTATGCACACACTATGTACCCACAGCGCCTTTTGACTAATTGGGATACAGTCAGCTCGAAGCCATACCGACTGATTTCTCTCATACAGGAGGCGCTGCTGAGCAAGACAGTTAGACCATATAGTATCCTAACTCTCGAATCCCAACCTTTTCGTGCACTCAATCCTGACACTTTGATGTGCTCAGATGAAGAGTACAAAAATCTTGATCTCTTCACCATGCGTCAAAGAACCCTAGCACTTAAACCTCACATTTTCACACTCTCTTCTCATCATTCCTCAACTCAAGTTCTATACCCAAGCAGGCGGGGGTAACCTTTCTTCTGGTAACCCCATCTCATACGTCTGTGATTGAAAATCTTCGCGCTACCCTGACTAATCATCCTCAAAGGTACCTTTTTCCATCAACTTCGGTAAAAGGGGGATATCGCCTACACGGCTCATGGCCAAGCGAAACAGTCCGATCGGAACTTTTCCTTGCACGCCAGCTTGACGTAGCTATCTCTACTTTTCCGTTGGGCCAAGCATGGTCCATACTTCAATAGGCACAATGAACTGAACAAGTTCGATGACCTATTCACCTACGATGACTGGACACCAGGAGCCAGATAGTTCAATACCAGATAGTTACCAACAATTGAGTCTTCTGCTGACTACAACTTCTTTCTCCGATTTCAAAAAACCGTTACTACGAACGTTCTTATTCTTATTTCCTGAACAAGGAACGGATAGAGAAGGCTTCACTAGTGACATTCAGAACACTAGAACACTTACCATAAAAAGCACAGATCGATCCCACTTCTATAATCTACTAACGAGTTACGAACCTTTCATAAGGTTTCGTCGACGGCCACATTACCACCATTACGTTGTTACTCCTGCTAGAGTAATTTTCTAAGAGACTCCATCAAAATTGAGGGGGATGACAGATGACCCGGACGGGTATCTAATCATGAGGCTGAACAAGCCTAAGCCGTCAATCCTCACAATTTTCAAGCGCCTCTACTCCTAGTTCTCAGCCTTAGACTGCGGGTCGACCCTTTCCCCCTGTCTAAACCGGGCCAACTCCTGCCCCAGCCAGCGCAGTTGCCCATCACACAACACTAGGATAGAGCAGCTTTCGGTCCCTCGGACGAGGCGACCATTGCAACACATGCAGCTGAACAAGCTCGTTGCACATCTCAAAACAAATTCCATTACCCACCATCATGGAAAAGGCCGAACAACGCTCTCTTGAGGGGGATGACTGCAGCGATACCTGTGGCTGAACAAGCTCAGCTATCCAACAGCCAACCACTCATCATCCATCCAGCGGATGCAGAAAAGGATCAACCACTTTGTAAAATCTTGTACTCATCAAAATCATGTTTTCAAAAAAAAAATTCTGTTACATCGACATCACTCGAACTTCGAACAACCTTTAGTAAATTTTAGTAACCAATCGTGACCAATGCCTTCCTAAGGGGGGGATTGATACATGTCACTGATGGGGGTAACGAGAATTCATAAAGAATGCAAAAACTTTGCTACATCTTCATGAATTCTTGTCCTTAGCCGAGTCATTGGTGACGTGTTTTTCTCTACACTTTTCCAAACATCCTATCGGCGCGCCCCTTTACACTCCACGCTTTCCACTCTTCTCCCTATTCGCTCTCTCCACTTTCGCCTTACGGCCCATCTCTATTCATCCTTGCACCTCCCACTCTCAACGCGACAGGCCCTTTGCTTTCCTCGCGCCACTTCTTTTAACTTTCTGTTCGCCGGATACTTTTCCGAGCCGAATTTTCAATTATTTATTTAAATAAAAGGTTATGTTCGAAGTTTGATGTGTTTTTATATCTTGTAGATCATTTATAGCATAATTTATTATAAATAATTATTGTATCATAATAAATTATTATTAACTAATTATTAATTATAATTGTTATTACAATAATTATAATTTGTTAATTGTTAATGGTGGATATTATTGTTATAGTGATTTATAATTTATAATGTTATATATATATATATATATATATATATATATATATATATATATATATATATATATATATATATATATATATGTGTATATATATATATATATATATATGTGTGTGTGTGTGTGTGTGTGTGTGTGTGTTTAATACGGATAATATTATATTGTTAACTTATAGTAAATATATATTATGTTACACATACATATCTGTATTTGTAACATATTATATTAATAAACTATATTTTAATATAATAATATTATTATCATATATCACACTTATTAAGTAAGATTAGTTATTAATTAGGTTAATTAGGAATGGTTAAGCAGGGATGTGAGAGAATTTCGGGGATAGAGGTGAATCTCGCGAGAAGACGCGCGACTTGGCTCTTGACTCGCGGTTTTCCGCGGGTCAAGAGTAAGAAGTGCATAGACGGAAGATTTGCCCCTCTCTTGGAAAATTCTCCCACTATTTTCGTCGTTTTGGAAGAGTCGTGGGCTATAAAAGCCGATGCACTGGACCAAAACGTCAGTTCTGTTGCAGAGCTCACTCAGGGTTGGTTGCCTTCCCTGCCTAGCCTACCCTATACTACGCAACAGCTTCCTACTTAGAAAAATTCCGAGTTAGTGGACTTAGAAAAATTTCTACTTATTCGTACTTAGAAATTTTTCCGAGTCTTGGACTTTGAATTTTTCTTCGCCTTTCGAACTTAGAAATATTCTACCCTTGTGGGACTTAGAATTATTTCAACAAAGTGTACTAAATGAAAATAAACGATCACTTGTAAATTGACTCATTTTCATTCACCCCCCCCCCCCGGCACTAACTTGAATTTCGATCACCACCATTATTGAGAATAGTTGCTGTTCTCAATAATTGAGGTACTTGCCAGAATAGAAGAGTTGCTTTTCTATTGTGGGGTGGTGAATCGACTCGCGAATATGATACCTAACCTATAAACTACTTTTGGACTCCATAGTTTCCACACTGTCAGTCGGTAGTTTTTTTTTTAAGCTTTGTATCACCACCATTATTGAGACTAGTTGCTGGTAACAATAATTGAGGTGCTCGTCACAACGGAAAAGTTGCTTTTCTCTTGTGAGGTGGTGACACTCTCTCTCTCTCTCTCTCTCTCTCTCTCTCTCTCTCTCTCTCTCTCTCTCTCTCTCTCTCTCTCTCTCTCTCCCTCCCTCTGTTCCAAACTTTAATGAAATTAAAGTTACTCGGCCACTATTTCGCTGTACCTTTGAATGCTCCCCATTGGTTATAAAAGTGAAAATAGATTTGGCCTTTGGCCCGGTGGCTCCCTCTACAGTGACCGGTGTCATAATATTGAGGGAATATTACCTGTAATATTGAGGGAATATTACATGTAATATAGAAGGAATATTACATGTAATATAGAGGGAATATTACATGTAATATTGAGGGAATATTACCTGTAATATTGAGGGAATATTACCTGTTGCACGCAAAGACATTTAATTCAATGAAAAAATGTTAACGAGGCGGGAATCGAACCCCGAACCTAACGCACAACAGTCGAGAGTCTTAACCAATAGACCAATTATTGTACTTGAAATATTGGTTAAGCATTTGGCAAAATATGAATATCTAATTGTAAGCAACAAGAATAATTATATTCTATATTGATTTGAACCAAATATAATATATTTTGCGTTAAATAAACGTATATTTGTCTCACAGTCAACTAACCCAATTATTTGGGATAATTAAATATTTTTATTTAAATTAAATAAAAATTTTAATGAATCAAATAAATATATTTATTACCTAGTGAGGAAAATATACCATTTTTCTTGATTTAGTATATAGAATACGATCAAATATATTTTCTATAAAGGTTTTTTTTTTTTTTTTTTTACCAACAGATTTTGCAAGATGCTTGTGCATTTTTCATCTTGATATCACATTATCGAATCTATAATACTAGAGTAGAATCGATTTTCTACAAAGTTTTCCACGACTTTCAAGTGCGAATCTTATGAACGACTTTATTTTATATGGGTTACTTCTATTTTCTCTCAGTCACTTTAGTACACACACAGACATACATACATGTATATAAACATAGAGAGAAGGGAAATCAATTATTAAACTCACCGATCGATGATAACTGGATCACTTGGAGTTTCATTTCTATTTCCACAGCTCTTTTTATCACAGCAACGACTAGAACAATCATTTAATAGGTTTTTCAATTTATTGTTTTTTAAATAGAGAAAAATTACTACAATTTAGTATAATTGTAACTAAATCTGAATTAGTAACCATTTTGACTAATTTTTACTTTAAAAAAATGACTAATTGTTAATAGAAAACAACTAATTAACAACATTATAATGAATAATTATTATTTTTTACTAAAAAAAAAGAAAGTTAAAAATATGTAAATTATTTTTTAATAGAAAAAATTTAGTACTACTGTTATACTTATTCAAAAGTTTGTTAAATATTTTGTTTTCATTGCCCGTGCATAAATTTTGCCAGGGCCCAGATCGGGGCCGGATTAGGCTGCCCTATTAGAGAATAGGCACGCCTGGGGGTCAATTACGTAACTGTTTCCGGATCCCACATTCCGGATCCCACTTTTCACATTTCGGATTCCACTTTTCAAATTTCACATTCCAAATTCCTCTTTCAAAATTCCGTATTTTAGATTCTAGATTCTACATTCAGAATTCCGGATCCCACATTTCGTATTCCAAATTCTGGATCCCACTTTCAAAATTCCGTATTAGGGATTCCATATTCCGGATCCCACTTTTCATATTTCGGATTCCACATTCCGTATTCCACTTTTCATATTCCGGATTCAACTTTTTACATTCCGTATTCCGGTTTTTACATTTTGGATTCCACTTTCAAAATTCCGGATTCCATATTACACAATCTGAAAGTTAAGTTCGGAATGTGAAAATCGAAATATGGAATACGGAATGTGAAATGTTTGATTCGGAATGTGTAATCCGAAATGTGAGAGGTGTAATCCGGAATGTGGAATTCAGAATTCGGAATACGGAATGTGAAAAGTGGTATCCTGAATACGGAATTTAAAAAATGGAATCCGGAATGTGGGATCCAGAATATAGAATCCGAAATGTGAAATACAGAATGTAAAAAGTGGGATACGGAATTTGGAATTCGGATTTGTGAAAAGTGGATTTCGGAATACGGAATGTGAAAAGTGGTATTCTGAATACGGATTTTGAAATGTGGAATCCGGAATGTGGGATACAGAATATGGAATCCGAAATATGAAATACGGAATGTGAAAAGTTGGATCCAGAATTTGAAATTCGGATTAGTGAAAAGTGGATTCCGGAATACGGAATGTGAAATGTGGAATCCGGAAAAAGTTACGTAATTGACCCCCAGATGTGGTTCTGATTAGGAAATTCACATTTTCTAGTCGCCCTAATTTGGTCCTGATCAGGCGTTGCGTTTCATTCCCTACTAGGGCCCTGGTAGGGCAATTTCTACACGGATTATTAAATATCACTAAAATTATATTTGTTAATCATTTAATTAAGTAATGGAGAATTATTGTTAAATTACTCACCTGCACATGACTTCGTGAGTCAGCAAAACACGACACATCTCAGGATTCTTATCCTGACCCTCGTACATAATAGCCTGGAACAGAAAAAAAAAGACTCATTTATGACAAAATAATAAAAAGTAGCCATGTTATTAATATTATATATATATTGATTTTTTTATATTTAAATTATAGTAATAATAATAACAATAATAGACAAAAAATTAAAAAAAATAATAATAATTAAAATCGGTGGTAATTATAGAAGAAATAGAAGAGAAATTAAATGTAATCTCTCCAATTTCATAAAATTAGTCGACTTTGAGATAAATTGAAAGAATCATTTAGAAAACTATGAATGTTACAGACAATGAGAAGTTTGGTGTCCGCATGGTTGGAAATAGAAGGGCGGGGGGTGCGCGGATGCGTCCCGCAGGACTAGATATAAGCCGTGGGCGTCGAAAGCAAATCCGTTAAGCTTCCTTCACGACCTTCTGATTGATTTTTATTTAATGACAACACGTTGTTACCCTGTATTCATGTATTTATGGATTGGGGGGAATGCTTCGGTTGCAGATTACCCTTAGAATATAATAAAGCCTTTTGCCGCGCTCGAGAATCTTCCTTTTGGCTTTGATGTTATGCTTTCGTGAAGCCTTTGCCAATGTTATACATATATATAGGAAAACTTTACCATCAATTACAAGAATATACTTTTCAAACAATTTCAATTCTTCATTTTTGGATAAATTAAATTTTATAGTCAAATTTTCTTTACAGATAAAATAAAATAAAAAATAAGCCAGGGTCCCGATCGGGGACGAATCAGGCTGCCCTATTAGGAAATGAAACGCCTGATGTGGCCCTGATTAGGAAATCGACATTTTCTGGTCGCCCTGATTAGCGTTTCATTCCCTACTAGGGCCCTGGTAGGGCAATTTCTAATTTAAAACAAAAAAATAGAATAATTTTTTTTCACTTGATCGCGAGAAAGGAGGGAAAAAATATATATATAGCTTCCCTTTGGTTTCGTGTATCGTGGTTATAAGAAGATCAAAACTTATTAGTCTCAGGAAATAATTAACATAAGTGTTCATTATATATGAAAATGGATCTTAAACATTCAATAAAAAATTTATTTCTTATATTTTTTATAATTATAATTTTTTATAATCTAATTAATTAAAAATTATTTAACTAAAAATTCAAGAATTGAATAATTATTTTCTTTCTTCAATTGCATTTAATTAAAATTTTTACATTCATTCTATTTTCTTTCACTTTTCTCACAAGCGGTGAGAAAAGTATATATATATATATGTATAGTATTTTATGTACTTGCAATTATTATTTTATATTATGTGTTTCGCACCTGTAAACACATTTTCACGAAACAGTAATCACTGTTTAAACACGAGTTGAAATATATATATATATATGTATATACATTCATATACATATGTATAGTCAATGTCATTTGAACAAAACACGCGACATTATTTACATGCTGGCTATTATACAACCAGTTTCATTTACTTTTCTTCCCCTGTTTGGATCAACAATTTCAAGCAATTATTTTTTACAAGCCTCTCATTGCTCTTTTCTATATATTTATGACTTCTGCGAAAGTCTATTAATTTTTTTTCTCTCCTTTTTTTTTTTTGCTAAATACTTCAATTATATCATTTTGAGAATTATAATTATCAAATTCGCCGAAGGTGTAACATTTATATTTACACAAAAAAAAATTGCTGCATAATTTTTAATTTTTTAAAATATATAATCAATTATAATAATTAGAATTATTATCTATTAAGTATAATTAATTAATTATTATTATCTATTAAGTATAACTAATTAATTATTATTATCCATTTAATAATAATTAGTTAATAATTAATTATTATCCATTTAACAATGATTACTGATAATAAAAATTAGCTTGTACATTAGTAATTAGTTAATTAGTTAATTATTACCAAACTAAACTTTAATTATTAATTAATTACTAATTATTATTAATAATTATTTGTTTTCTAATAATTATAAAACTGTGATCTGATTTATAATAACACAGATTTTAATTTTCCCAATTTTCTTTTGCAATTATTTTTTAAAGTTAGGAAAAACGAAAAAAAAGAAAAAAAAAAGAAAAGTGTTTCAAGGACAGGGAAGTGAAACGTTTTAAAAAGAGATTTAAAAGCAGTTATATGTGAAGTAGTCCTGTAACTTGCTCCTTCGAGTTAGTACAGAAAGTCTTTTGGTCCCCGAAGAGGTTCTCCGTGTGTCCCTAGACAAATCTCTTGCTCACTTCCACCGAATAACCTGTAGTTACAGTATCCCAAGTCGCAGATGAGAAACTCTATATATATATATATATATATATATATAGAAGAGGGTAAAAGCAAGCACGTCAGTTGGCGTGTCCTGGGGGTGCGACCAGTCAGTATCAGTCCCGCGGGGGCCTTTCTTCGCGCAATACCATCAAGTCCCACCAGGAAACGCACTCTTTACCCTCTCCCGCACTTCCGATTCCCACGGGAATTACATGCCAAGGACTAATAGCGAATTGATCTCAAAACCTGTTTCTTTCTTTTGATTATACGAATTAGATATAGAGACAAAACAAAATTTGTGAAATTAAAAAAAAAAAAAAGAAAAGAAATGAATTTTTAGATTATATTCTCTTGAATTTGTACCTCATTCGAGGGAGATAGAGAAAGAAGGAGAAAAAGGAAGAAAAAAAGAAAGAACAAAAAAAGAAGGAAAGAAATAAGAAAGAAATAAAGAAAAAAAGAAGGAGGGAAAGAAAACAAAAAAGAAAGAAATACATTTTTCCAGTAAAATTGGAATACCTTATTTCATTAATTGCTAGTAAAGATAAATCAGAAAGTCACCGTGGCTTCGTGGTAACGTACAGTAACGTCAGCAAGGTCCTGGGGTTCGATTCCCGTTACGGGAGAAAATTTTAATTTGTACATTTAAGTATTATATTTACAGTAATTGTTCATTAGTCCTAACCCTATCAAAAATTGACTACTGGCACAGTACTGTCGCGATACAAATACCAGTACTGAGCCAGTACCTCTACAAATTTCTAGTAGGAAAGTCAAAAAAGTCTGGTAAAAATCGAAAAAGGAACTCCATTTCTCAAATTGATAGTAAAAATAAATCGACAAGTCACCGTGGCTCCGTGGTAACGTACAGTAGCGTCAGCAAGGTCCTGGGTTCGATTCCCGTTACGGGAGAAAATTTTAATTCGTACATTTAAGTATTATATGTACAGTAATTGTTCATTAGTCCTAACCCTATCAAAAATTGACTACTGGCACAGTACTGTCGCGATACAAATACCAGTACTGAGCCAGTAGTACCTCTACAAATTTCTAGTAGGAAAATCAAAAAAGTCTGGTAAAAATCAAAATAGGAACTTCATTTCTCAAATTGATAGTAAAAATAAATCGACAAGTCACCGTGGCTCCGTGGTAACGTACAATAGTGTCTGTATAAGGTCCTCGGTTCGATCCCCGACGCGTGCGAAAAATTTTAATACTTAGATAATACGTACTGACGCGGTTACTAGTACCACTACTTGTCCATTAGTGAATTCCGACAATTTCCAGGAAGGCAGTATTTAAAAAGTGGTAAAATCTAAATAAATAATAAAAAAATAAAAAAAAATAAATAAATAAAACACCTACTAAATAAAATAATAAATAAAATCCTTGAAAATTATCCAGTATTCTAGATTTTGACCAGAATAACTGGCGAGATAATTCTGACCAGTCACTCCAAAAGCAGAGCGTTACATTTTCAATCAAAAACTAACCAGATTTCCTATCCAGCCACTGGCCAGTATCTAAAAACTAAGTTGGCTAATACCGAATTAAAATTTCTACCTGGAAAATAGAGACAGAATGACACAGGGACGAGAGGATCATTGCGAATTATCAGAGAGAACGACTCCTGATTGGATCCGGTTCTTGCTGTCTTCTTGGACTTTTTTTTTCATCTCCTTTTTTTTTAAAGTTCGTTATATACCTTGGCCGTCATAACTGGTTTCAATTATCGATATCGCTTTGCACTAAATCATCTCGCAGCTGACATCCTTGTTTGACTTTGCATTGTGGATTGTATAATAGATATCCATATAAACTTTTTTTTTTTTTTTTTTTTTTTTGTTCTTGTCGGATTATTGGAACTTTGATTGAATCTTAAGGATGCAATATATATGTATTGCATATATGCGCAATATTGTTCGACGCAGGTGATCTTCGAAAAATATACAAAAGTTTGAAAAAGCAAATGACTTTTTTTCATGATGGCGCTCGAGACATACAGATACATACACACATACACATACACAAAATTCCATCTCTCCGGGAACTTATTAAGAAATTATTTCCAGATTCCCATTAGAAATTCAAGTTCCCCTTTTCTTCCTGTCGTGTCGCGTAGTTTTTAACAAGCAGGAGATGCCGCTGCATTCAAGACGATTTTTATCTTCTTACAATATACCTATATATACTTATTCTTGATGCAAAGACATATATATATATATATTGGAAATATGTGTTTTCTTATTATTGACAATCAGTGGGAAACTGTATAATCAACGTAATTGTTAATCCTTTCTGGATTTATGTCAATTTTTTTGATTTTTTAAAATTTCTTTTTCTTTTTTTAATTTTTTGTAATTTTTTTCCACTAGTAGTAAAAGAACGTTTCAGTTACACAATTTATTGAATTACAGTAGTAAAATTCAAGGGATAAATTTTAAAATCTAATATCAGTAGTAAAAATAGTTTTAGTCAGACAAAAAAAGTTAAAAATTGACATAAATTAAAAATAAGTAGTGAAGGTTTGTTTCAGTCAGACAAAAATTTCTTTTATTAGTATAGAAGAAAACTAGTTTCAATTAGACAAAATTCAATTCTATCAGTCCTACAATTTTCGTTATACATTTCCTACATTTTTTTCATACATCGTTACATCAGTAGAAAAAGTGAATCGCACTCAGACATATCGAAAACTATAAACAATTTTAAAAAAAATTGTCTCATCGAAATTTTTTTCTTTTTTTTTTGCATCTCGA